GCAGAGCCTTTCTCTCTGTCGGCTTGGGGGGGAGGTCCTTGTCTCCTGTCAGCACCTGTGGGCCTGTGTCCCTTGAAGATCCCCATGTGTCTGGGCACCAGTCCCACACTGGGTCTGAGAGGTGCTGGGGCCCCAGGTCCAAAGGAAAAGGACATAGTCTGCTTCTGGCTCTTCCTTCTTGGAGGTCCCTCAATCTCTGCTCGATTGTTTAATCTCTTTTATATCTCAGAGGAGGTGGAGTCAAGACACAGCCTCCTCCTGTGGATTGTATCCTGCCTCCTCAGGGTACCTACATCTAATCCTGCCTCCTGACAGTCACAGAGGTTAGGCTTTATACCACCTGGCATAATTCTACCTGACCACTAAATGGAGCGTAATTACATCAGATCACATCATGGGGGTGATGACATCATTCAGCTGCTATGCTGCATCATTAGGTAACTGCTAAACCACCAAGATTCCTGGCCCAGCCAAGGTGACACACATTTTGGGGGGGACACAGTCCAATCCATGACATGGGCCATTCAAAAACTGTCAAAATTGCCCTGAAAGAATTTGGAAGTGAGCGATGTAGCTGAATAAATGTTCTGTGAAAGGCACCGTGACATCTTTGACTACTATGGCGGGTGAGCAGCAGGAAGATGCCTCTGTGGGAATGGCCCCAGCGTTAAAGGGCTGAGTAGCAGGACATGACCCTCCCCCATGAAGCATCTTGGGAGCCACATGCTCTGTTGTGTGGGGTGGTGGCGGTGGCCGGCTGGACCAGGGACAGGAGGTGGACCACCCAGTCCAGCTTTCCAAACGATATTCCAAGGAAAACAAATTCTGTCGACGGATATGCTTATATAATGCCTTATATCCTTCTCCAAGGGGTCCCACTGCTGTCCAGTCACCCCTGACTCACGGTGACCCCATGGGGCAGAGCCGGCCTGGCCCAGAGTGTCTTCGAGGCTGTCACCTTTACGGGAGCAGGTCACCAGTTCTCTTCTCCTCCAGACCTTTCTTTAGCAGCCCTGCGCTAAGCCACCGTGACCCAGGGCTCCTTCCCCAGGAGACAGCCAGCAGGTATTAGGATGCTGGGAGCTCCACGAAGTCCCACAGAGAGAACTCATCTAACTTTCGCCAAACTGGTTTAACCAAGGAACCCTGTTCTTCCCGTCTTGGAACATGCTGCATGTGTGTCGGTTTCAGGATTGCTCGCCCCGCCCCCCACAGTGTTGTATCCCGCTTTCCAGTTACGCTTCACACCGCCAGCCCCAGGCCTGCCCAGGTCACGCGTCCACCAGCACGGAGAGCTGCTACTCGGCAGAGCAAGCTCACCTAGCTCGACGTCACTGACTGAGTCACATCCATACCTGGGATGATGAGCTAGCTCTCATCCGAGCTCCAAGGTCCACGGCCAAGTTCTAGCAAGTTCCTTGACTGCCGGGGCACTGTGTCGAGAAGCCCAGCTCTTAGCTGCACCTTTGGGGAGACCCCAGACAGCACACCTCGACTCCTGGTCCCCACACAGCAGTTTCTAAAACCGGTGGCTTCCAGAGTCTCTTCCTCACGACTAAGTCGTAGTCTGGGAGGCACAGTTACGCTCGGCTGCTAACCCAAAGGTTAGAGGTTTGAGTCTTCCCAGAAGTGCCTTGGAAGAATGGCCTGGCAACTTCTGAAAACTGAGCCACTGGGAACCCTACGAGCACAGCTCCTGCTGACACGCACACCCAAGGTCCCTGGGAGTCAGAATCCACCGCAAGGCAACCGGTTTGGTGGTTTTCTTGGGGTTTTTTTTTTTTTTTTTGGTAAATGGATCAGTGGGATCCCTGAGTGATACCAATGGCTAACACACTTGGCTCTGACTGAACAATTAGGGGTCCAGGGCTGCCCAGAGGTGGCTCGGAATTAAGGCCTGGGGATGCGTTTCCACAGAGGAGCCATTGCAAAGCTTCAGCACACAGCTCCACTCGGACCGTCAGGCAGAGCCCCCCGGGTGACAGCTGGCTGCTGTGACGCATTCAGGAGCTCAGTTACCCACATGTCGCACAGGGCTCTGCACAGTTCAGAACCACCAGGGAAGGGAACATTTTCCGGGACGTTCCCCAGGGAGCCTACCCGAGACAGGGCAGCCGGCCATCTGCCCTTGGCCGATGGGCTGTGCATCTTTCTTTCCCTCCTTCCGTGCAATTAATGAGAGGGAGGGCCCCTCCCCTGGGCTGGGAGATTTGATTTTCCCTTTGCTGGAACCCACTTACCAAGCTTAAACCCCAATTACACTTCTCTGTGCTGAAAATGGGCTATTATCACGGCTTAAACGCCTTCTAATTGCGGGCCACTGTCAGCACTCCATGCCGCTTCCCCGTTAATCGGTGCCGCAGACGGGGCCCCGCTGCCGCTCCGGCTCAGCCCCCTTTTCCCTTCTCTCTGCTTCTTGTGTCTCCAGGGGTGAGCAAGGTGGTGACCGTGGACATTAAAGGGAATTGGCAGCGCTGGCTGAAGGTGCGGGACCTCACCAAAGGCGTCACCTACTTCTTCCGGGTCCAAGCGCGCACCATCGCCTACGGACCCGAGATCCAGGCCAATGTCACGGCGGGGCCCGCGGAGGGTGAGTGGGCCGCACGCTGCACGTGGCCGGGCTGTCCCCCGGGGAGTGGGTTCGAACCTGGTTCTGCAGGGGTGCTTGGTGGCTCAGTCACCTGGAGCTGCTGTGACAAAGCACGAGTGGCTAGCGTTGGCAAACGGAAATGGGTTCTCCCGGGTTCAGGAGGCTCGAAGTCAGGGTTCAGGGGTCGGCTCTAGGGCAACAGTATCCTCATCTCCTTCCAGCTTCTGCTCCTGGCCATGGCGTGTTCCCCTCCACCTCTCTGCTTCTCTGAGCTCACCTGCTCTTTTGCCCTCAGGACCGTGATTGGTTTAACACACACCCTACACGGCCTCATTAACCTCACACACACCAAAAAAAAAAAAAACCTGCTCCAAACGGATCCCATCACGTAGGGTTAAGACAACAACCAAAAACCAAATCAAACTCACGGCCATCAAGTCACATCCGACATATAGCGACCCCTCCTTGGGTTTCCAAGGCAGTATCACTACGGAAGTAGATTGCCCAACCTGCCTTCCGAGGAGTGGCCTGGGGGTTTGAACAGCCAGCCTTCTGGTTAGCAGTCAGATGCCTTAGGCACTAAGCCACTAGCACAATCCATATTTTCAGTTCTGTCTGTGACACTTGTAACTGTCCACACGCAAACGCTTAGCCTGCATTCAGCATATAAAGCTTTGATACATTTTCCGGAAGATGAGGAGATAAGAGGGCTCCATTTTTTCAATAAATAAACAAGGGGATTTTCAGGCTCTCACACGCCAGTGTCAGGAGGGGCCGTGCAACTGCCCCGTAGGCAGCAGTTGGGATCTTGGCTGAGACAAGTGTCTGGCTACAGCGGCAGAGCGTATGTCTGGGGACCACGTGGACATGGCATCTGTCTGTCCCCGAGTGTGAGGTGAGTGCCACTGCCCCGTGTGAGGACCAGGAAGTGGTGGCAGTGCAGGACAGGTCACCTGTCGAGGGACTAGACCCCATACAGCTGACGCCACACAGGGCGAGGAGGACTCCCCCAGTACCAACCTCTCATTCTTTTTTCCACAGGCTCCCCGGACTCCCCCAGAGATGTCCTGGTCACCAAATCCACCTCCGAGCTGACCCTGCAGTGGACGGAGGGAAACTCCGGCAGGACACCCACCACAGGCTACATCATAGAGGCCAGGCCGTCAGGTAGGGGTGGGGCCTAGGTCAGGTGGGGCCCCAGGTCAGGCAGGGGCTGCAGGACCCTTGGGGAGGGTGTGGGAATCCCAGGTCAGGAAGGGGCCATGGGGCCTTCAGGTGGGGTGTGGGGCCATCACGTCACCCACTTGCTCACACCTTTCATCACAGCCCTCACCTGCGCCCTTTTACCACCACATCTCCTGGATCTGGCATGGACATCTTGATCTGGGGGCCTGAAGGGGGCGGCGAGGGCTGTGGGTTAAAGGCCTGAGTGAGGACTGTGCCCAATCGAGACGTGGTAGTGAAGGAGGCAGGTCAGTGACAGGAGCCCCACTGACAAGAAGGAAACTGTTCTTCTCCCAAACATCAGAAGGTCACTGAGAACAAAGTTCACTTGGTTAACGCTTGAGGCCACCAAGGAGTTCATGGGTAGGACTCAGGGGCTCCATGAACTTGGATAGGAAGAAAATGCATTTTTACTTCTCTAAAACATAGTGTGAAATGTAGCATAATTTTGGTGTAGTGGTTAAGGTATATGGCCGCTCACCAAAAGGATGGTGGCTTGAACCCATTAGCCCCCAAGGAAGAAAGATGAGGCAGTCTGCTTCCATAAAGATTTACAGCCTCAGAAACCTGTTGGGGGTCACTGTGAGTCATAATTGACTCTGTGGCAGTGAGTTTGGTTTGGGTTGTTTTGCTTTTAGTCACTTACGGCATTGGTAGAAACCACATTGTCACAGCAGGACCCCTACCTGTAAACGAGAGACGTCGTGGGTCACAGATGCCGTGCAGCATGGTTGATACTCAGCGTTGCTTTGAGGTCCTGGGCCACAAGACCCGCTGCCAGCTCTTGTTCTGCAGAATGCCCGCGAAGAAAGTGGAGACTTCTGGGTGCCCTGAGGTGACCCCCATCTGCCAGGAACCACATGGCTAAACGCGCACTGCAAAGAAAAACACACATCACCCACACCCTCCACGTTCCTGGAGACTGACTATAAGTGTCACCAATGCACTAGATTTCCTTTACGTGTCTATGTTTTATTTCTTATTTCTGAAAACATCACATGTCACTATGGTGCTGGAAGCTGTGCCACCGGTATTTCACATACAGCAGGGTCCCCCACGGTGGGCGGGTATTTCACATACAGCAGGGTCACCCACGGTGGGCGGGTATTTCACGTACAGCAGGGTCACCCATGGTGGGCAGGTCTCGGCAGTGCGTCCAGACTGAGACAGACTTGGGAGAAGGGCAGGGATGACCTCCTTCTAGAATTCAGCAGTGGGAACCCTGAGCACAGATCTCATCCGAGACTGTGACCCACCCTCTCAGATGCATCCCCGGGAGGGACCAGTGGCTGGAGAACGTCGTGACGGACGGAGAGGAGGGCCAGTGACGGCGACTCCGTGACATGGGTTGCCACCACGGATTCCAGCAGACCAGTGCCTGTGAAGATGGTACAAGACCGGGCAGCACCCCTTTCCACACAGGGTCTCCACGGGGCAGAGCCGACCCGATGGTGACCAACAGCAACAGGAACAGAGTCACCGGACTGCCCCAGGATCCAGCCACAACAGAGAGTAAGAAGCGTTGTACGAGAGAACAGGAGCCCCGGTGGTGCTGTGGTTAAAACTGTCGGCTGCTAACCAAAAGATCAGCAGTTTGAAACCAGCAGCTGCTTTATGGGAGAAAGAGGTGACAGTTTACTTCGTAAGGACTGACAGCCTTGGAAGCCCTGGGGGGCAGTTCTGCTCCGTCCAGTAGGATCACAGTGAGTCAGAATCAACTCAACAGCGTGGGTTGGGTTGGGTTTTGTACTGGAGAACCGCAGGACGGTCGTGAGTAGCTTTCTTCTACCCGGACGCCTGTCCCGAGTACAGACATACAGACTATGAAAGGGCACCGCGAGGCCCTTTGAGATGGTGGCAGTGTTCTGTGCCTTGGCCGTGTCTGTGCTCACAGCCTGGTGTGATGCTATCCTACAGCTGTGCAGGGTGTGACTCTGATGCCTATGATGAGCCCAACCAAGCCGTGGTCTTTGCAGTCACCTCAGATGCATGTGGAAGCTAGACGAGGAGGAGAGGAAGGCAGAGGAAGAAATGACGCATTCAGCCTGTGGTGCCGGCGAAGAGTATTGAGCACACATCCAGTGGATGGCCGGAGCAAACAGATCAGTCTTAGAAGAAACAGACGGAACGTTCCTTAGAAGCGAGGACTGCGAGACTGTGATGGCCTGCTCTGGGCACGTCACCAGGACAAAGCAGTCGCTAGAAAGGGACGTCAAGGTTGGTAAAGCCGGGGGCCAACAAAAACGAGGGAAGCCCCCGTGAGATGGACGGACACAGTAGCCGCAACACTGGCCTCATGGACGGTGCAGGACTGGGCCGCGTGTCATCCCGTGCATGGGGTCACCGCGAGTGGGAGCCAACCGCATGTCAACCAGCAGCACCGTACACGGGAGAAATGGAGTGAAGGACGCACACGGGCGATGACCCAGGAGCAAGGCAGGCGAGGGCTTACTTGTGCCGACTCACGGGTCTGTGCTGAACGACTTCCCTGCTTCACATGGAGACAGGCTGCCCACGGGGCTCCCTTTTGGATCGCTCTGGGCGGCAGCGTGGCTCCTGACGGGCTCGCTCCTTCCATGGAGGGTGAGGGAAACGCCCCGCGTGACTCACCAGCGGCACTAGGAGCGGGGTGCAGTGCCCTTCAGATTGTCGGGATTTGAGCACCTGGCAGCACCTTGGGGCTTCGCATCCCAGCCGACATCCATCCCAGGCCTCGTTACCCGGCCCGTTAGTCGGGATCAGCCGTGTTCTCTGCAAGGCTCACTGGAGACTTCCTCCCGCCTGGGGGTGGTTTACAAGGGGCAGGGTGGCCTGGCGCCAGTCTCAGCACGCAGGCCCTGTTTAGTGACGGGGGTACTTTGATACGAGGGGGCAGTGGTGGTTCCGAGCCTTCCGTGTGGGAGACCTGGGTTCCATTCCCAGCCAGTGCACCTCTCACACAGCTACCATCTCTCTGTCCCTGGGGGCTCCCGTCTGCCCCTGGAGGCCTGTGTGTCACTATGATGCTGGACGGGTTTCAGCGGAGTGTCCAGATGGAGAGAGACCAGGAGGAAAGGTCTGCCGACCTGCTCCTGCCATCGGCCGTGAGAACCCTGGGCGGCACCAACGGCTGCTGCTCGGCCGACCACAGGGAGGTGCAGGCCCAGCAGCGCTCTGTTCCTTGTGCATGGGGTCACCCTGGGGGGACGACTCGGTGGCTCCTGATGGCAACAGAGCAGCAATCTGGGTGTGGGGCCACCAGCTCAGAGCCCTCACCCCCAGGTTCCTGGGGAGCCAGGCATGTTGGTCTGGGCAGCCCCGGGGCCCATGCTTGGCCTGCTGTCATCCCATCAAGCCAGCCCTTGCCCTGGGGAGACCAGAAGCCCCCCAGTTTTGTGGCTGGTGCGGTCAGGGGACTCAGGCACCCAGGCTGGATGACAGGGCCGTCTCGTCCCCTTCCTCATCCTCATCTCCACCCCTGCAAATTCTGCCCAACCCCAGGGCCACCAGGACACACAGGAACAGGACAGCCACTCATGACAGTAGCACTGGGCTAGGAACTAGGGGTGCTCACCACCCTAGAGGTGGCAGTCAGGGACGGGGACAGTGGGGACCGCCACTAGGAAGCCTGGCCAGGCTCATCCCTGCCCCGCACGCCACTCCTCTGCCTCAGCAGCCGCCCAGGCCCTGGACGGACGTGCAGCTGTGCGGTGGGCGCTGACAGGTGCTTCACTTACGCAGATCATTCCGAGGCGTTTGGCCGGGCGAATCCTGCAGTCTGACTTACATGGTCACCCAGTAGACGGGATGGCAGTTAAGGGAGCCGTACACAGCTCTCCCCACAGAGCAGCCGCGAAATACAGCTTTAGGGGGTCCCAGGACAGCCCACACGCTGTGGCTCCTCTCACCATAAAGGATGGACCCAGGGGATGAGAGCTGACGAGACTGAAGGTGGCCCCTCATCCCCACCAGGGTGCCTTCCCACAAGAGGGCCCTTCCCAGCCAGGAGACAGGCCTCCTGTCACTTGTCGCCCTGACTTTGTGGATGAGTCCCAGTTCCCGCCATGTTTGCTCTTTGGGGACGAGAGTTTTCAGCTGAGCAGAGAAGATGAGTAGTTTCCCCAAGGCTGGACCTTCCGGAAAACTCCCCGAGTCAGCACATTTGGCAGGAAGTCTGCAGCGGTGCCTCTATCATGGAGCCCCTCCGTTACTATTCCTGTCCTCACTGCACTGGTCGACAGTCCCCAGTCCTGTGTTGTGCTGCTTCCTGGGGTGACTCTCCAGCATGGCCCCTGCATGGAGACCCCCTGTTCCATTTGCGTCCTCCCGGAGGGGGCATCTCACTATATGGATCACTGCCTGCAGGCCACTGTGCACACAGTAAGAAAATCCCTTTCCGTGAAACCACTGGCCCAGACTGACCACTTACACCCAGACAGACAGTCGTGCCAGGACATGGGGCAGCGGCAGCCTCCGCCTGCTAGGGCCGCAGCTGTCAGTCAAGCTGTTGAGCACGTGAGTTGGCGGAACTGGAAGTCCCGGGCCGTGAGTGGCAGTCTCACCCAGCATGGAGGCCCTGCTTCATTGCCCATGAAATCTAACTTTTGAATTGGCGTGGCGTCTGCTTAATCCCCAGGGCGCTCAGCTCCGGGCCTGAAGCTGGAGGGGTGAATTGAGCGGCACCATCTCCAACGTGCCAGCAGCGGGCGTGTCGACTCAAGAGAGGGGTTCCTACAGGGGCATCACTAGGTGTGGTGTCACCCCTGCACAGGCCACCGCCTCCTGTTCCAGACCACAGAGAGTCCTTAGTAACGTTTATGATCGGTTTTAATCATAGAGTGATATATGGTAAAAGATGTAAATTACTTATATATAAAATGACTTAAGAGTGGATACATGCAAACAAAACTGTTCCCTAACCTTTCCACACTGAATTGTGTTATTAGTAACTGAGGGGAAGCCTT